CCTTTTCCGAGCCTCATGGCAGTGGGTTCACGAGGTTGGAGGGCTCCTGTTTGGGGTGGTGTCCGTCTTATCTGGTGGCAGTCACTGACTGGCTGACAGGCTCGTTCCTTTGTCATCCACCCAACAACCCAGGTCAGACCCAAGCGGCTGAGTGTGTCTGGGCAGCAGCTGCCCACCTGCTGCGGGGCAGAAGAACCGGTCAGCTGGGTCCAGCCCAAACTGTACAACTGTGAGTAAATAAATTGTTTTAATCTACCAGGGTTCAGGGTGGTTTGTTTTACAGCAGTAAATAAGAGTAAACTAAAACAAGTTATTAATTTAAAGGAATTAGTTTCCAGCTATAACTGAGTCTCTGGGAATTTACTCGCGCAAGAGAGTGGCCGAGGATGCTGGCCAGAGGGCTGGCCCTGGGCAGGGCCTTTCACTTCCTTGAGCTTTAACTAGAGATCTGTAGATGCTCCATGGTTTGGGGTGCATCGGAGGGGGCTTCTGGTGAACCGGGGGTGATGGGCTGTCAGGATTTCAGGGTTTTGCCTGCCCACAGCTCAAGCCCCAGTCTGGAAAGCAACCTGGGTGTTTAACGGAAGACGTCGACATCATTATCACCACTGCTCTCATCTCTCCCATCCGGATGGGGCTTTACAGGCTACAAAGTAGTTCCCTTTATTTCATTTTATCTTCTGGGTGCAGTAAAGCTGTCTATGGGCCCTGTTTACAGACAGTCGACAGTCTGGAAGAGAATATGCGCCCCCTCCAAGCTCATGAGCCTGTCAGTGCCCCCACGACCACCTGCCCAGCCAGCCGGGGGAGACAGTTGTAAGCTGACGCTCGCAGACAGCACAATGCATCTCCTGGGCCGTGATAACTTTGCACGAGCCTCACCTGGCCATTCAGAGCTGGTGCTTACCTGTGCTCCCCCATGGACTGTGATCCTCCCGAGAGCAGAGAGAGTCCTGGCTCCGTGCTCCCTGAGCAGGCACTGCGCCCGGCTCGTTCAGGATCTTGGAGGATCTTTGAACATTAGCACTGCCTTTGCCACCATCCTCTCCGCCTCCCTCCCCTCCTCTGCCCCATCCCCATCCTCCTCCTCCCCCAGTTGACAATGACAGAGGGAGTGCAGTTTGGCAGCTTCTGGTGTTAAGCAAACTGACTCTGCCATTCACTGCCTTAGTTAAGGTGTCTAAGCCTCACTTTCCACACCTGTACAGTGGGACTAATGGGGAGGGAAACCTTTTGGCCAACAGTTTGCACAAAATAGGCACTTAATTAATAAGTAAAACCTACAAATATTTATGATGATGGTGGTGCACCCTAGGACATGATTTAAGGGTTATAAACGTGATCTTAAACTCTCAGTGGGTCACTATCGCCCTCTTCTGGCTGGGGGTGGTGTCTACATCTCCTCCACTCCCTGCATGCTGGGGAATTGTGCCCCTGACCCCATCCCCGCACCAAACACGTGCAGCAAGTGCCTTCCTGGGCTTTGGGAGTGTGGCCGGGAGTCCAGGCCGTCCTGGCCCTCAGGTGTCAGATTACGCATGCTTGGCACTTTGTCAGTGCTCAGGAGACATTAGCCCTGCTCTGGCCACCAACACTGCTTTCACTCATCTCTGGGCCTCGATCTCCCCGTCTGACACGGAGGTTGCACAGCCGCCTACAGGGACCAAGGCAGAGCTCGAGTGTCTGTTCCTACCATTTCGGAAAGTCTCACCCAGGGGGCCGCCAGGACAATGCCAGCACCCACCCTGTCCAGAGGAAGCCCCCACATCCCAAGCCTCCAGGCGCTGTCACAGCACAAGTCCAAGATCAGCTCCCTGGGAAGGGGACGACTACTCCTGGAGAGGAGGTTGCCATCCTGACCTGCCGCCAGAGGGCTGGCACTGGGAACCCAGGTCCCGAATCTACGTGACTGTGTGACCTTGGTTGAGGCATTTAAAGCTCCCGACTGCCCTCGGGAAGAAAACCACTGAGGCAGGAGCACTTGTTTTGATGCCCCAGAGCAGAATTGTGGGAGAATCGTCTCCTCCCTGCCTTGGCACCAAAGCCTGCATCCAGATCCCCAAAGGGGTCCCTGCTCACCACAGGAGGGCGGGTGCCGCCAGGCCTAGGAGCTAGGCTCACTTCTGCTGGACCTCTGCCCAGCATCTTCCACTCCCAAGCTGCTTCCACCTATGCCTGGGGGGTAACCGCATCCCTAAGAGAAGGTGCTCTGTACATCTGCCCTTGTCCCCACCAGTCATGCAGTCCCTGGTCTCATACCTCATTGGTTCACACTTGACAACAGCAGGGCATCTTTAGCAAGACCAGAGCCACCTGCTCCCACCCCTCCCTGCCCCACAGCACCCACACACTGGCCACACACGCATACCCTTTGGACTTTGTAGCTGTTTTTATTATTAATATTATCTTCTCCTTTTAAGCATCCCTTTAAGGGTGAAATGAAATCCAACCATTTACAGAGAAAATGATTTCAGAATGTACATATTGATTTTCCCTTACAAAAAAAATAATACTATTATTATTGATGTCCTTAAATTATACATTTCCCAGGGCCCTGCCTTCTGCTTGGGCAAGTCCCATTGGTCTCCCCTCCCCTCTCCCCTCGACCCCCAAAGCTCTCCCACGCTGCCCCTGGGAACCGACGTGACCCACGAGTGGACAGGGCCAGCCGTGCTCCCTGGATGCTTGGCACGGGCGAGCCTACTTGCGTCTAGAGGTCACGGGGCTAGTGGTTTCTGGGGAGAGGGACCTGGCTACACCAACGGGACAGTGGTGTGCCGGTGTTCACATTTAGTTTGGTTTCCCTTCACGCTGGGGGAGTGGCCCTGGCCCCCCCCAAATTCCCAGTGTATGCTGTGATGGCGTGTGAAGCTCTTCAACCCCACGTCCTGGCGCCCCAGCCCTCTGACAGCTGCTCTCTCCACCGACGGCCAGGTCCGCACCCGCACTGCTGTGGACAGGCCCTGCCCCACTGCGTCTGGGAAGACGGGGCCTGGCAGTCCGAGCTTCTCCGCTTTTCCTCCACCTGCCCCCGAGCGCTGGAGGCCACAGGCCCTACAAGCCTGGGGAGGTGCCGGGAGGTGGGGTGAGGAAGCTGTCAAGGAGGGAGGCCCTGGGCTGAGGCTCAGGCATGATTCAGAGGCCCCCAAAGACTGCCTGTCCACAGGGCACAGACAGGCTGCTCAGGAGGGCGGCCTGGCCTGGACTGACCCAGAGCCACAGGGACACCCTGACTTCTCAAGCCACCTCTCTGCCCCAAGGGGAACCAGAGAGGAAGGCTGCTGTGACCTCCAAGGAGGGGTTAACTCGGGGGATACCCTAGATGGGAGCAAGAGTACTCCAACCCATCACGAACTCCCAATAAGACGTCCAGAGAAAGCATCACTGGAGGTGGGAGGTGGGGGGCGGGGGCCGAGAGGGGCTGGGAGGTAGTGGGCTCTCAGCTGCACGGCCCTCAGGTCGGGAGGGCTCCCATTCCTCAGACTGAAAGACAGACAGACAGACCCTGCATCTCCTCTAGCCTTGCTTTCTGGGCTCCCCAAGGGCTTAATGCCTCAGTCATTTTGGGGAGCTGCAGGAGGTGTGGCCACAGGCTCCAGGTCCTAGGGAAGAGGACACCTGGGCCTGGGCTCCCACGTCCACACACAAACTTAGTGACAAGGACAGGTCGGTACAGACACATACAAATACACACCAAGCATGCACCCATGCCCATAAATATACACACACACCCACAAACACGTACCATTCCACAGGCAGACTCCGCACACTGCGTCACTGGGTAACGTGTGAGCGGGCGGCGGGAGAGGGAGTTCCCTTCCCACACAGCTGCGGCTCCCACACTGCACCCTGGCCCTGGGCTGGCACAGCGAGAGCAACAGGAGCAGGTGTTCCAGAAGCTCTGATGAGAGCAGGATCCAACGACTTAAACAGTCATTCCTACCACCTCCCCTCCCCCTCCTCCAGAGATGCTACTTGTCTCCTGGATCCATTCTCTTCTCCCCGTTAACAAGAGGACTCCCAGGTTGAGGCCAGCACATGGCAGCCCAGCTGGACTACACTTCCCAGTTTCCCTTGCAGCTGCTTGTGGCCACGTGACTGAGGCCTGGCCAATGAGATGCTATCAGAGTGACAGAGCCATTTCTGGTTGATGCCCTTAACAGGAAAGGGGTGCGCCTCCCTTGCCTATCTCTGCTTCCCCCAGGGTTGGATGCACACAGGATGGTGGGAGGTGGAGCAGCCACTCTGTCCAGAACTGGAAGGTGTGAACAAAGGAAAGCAGAGCTGCCCTACTAGCTCTGGACCATCTTCCTCTAGGCAATTTAATTAGAAGCAAGCTTCTGTCTTACGTAAACCACTGTATTTCAGGGTCTCTTAATTACAGCAGCTTAGAATCTACTCCAACAAATACACCCCCACCCAAGGCAGACTATGAGGAATCGGATGACATACAACTGGCCTTAATGTCCCTTCTTGGGCCCAGGACAGCCTTGAGGGCCCTTTCTGGCCCCTAGCCATCCCCAAGGAGGGGCACAAGAGTGATCCCACCCGGGAGGGTGGAGAGCTGGGGCTGTGGGTGCCAGCAGGAAGGGGTGACGGGGAGGAAGGGGTGGATCGATGCAGGGGCTTTCTGCATCTCCTTTCTCCCTCCCCTAGGTGCCACCTACAGCAGCACTCCTGGCCTTGAAAGGACTGAATGGGCAGCCCACGAGACAGCAATATAAAAAGTAAGAAGGAATGTCAAGGCCAGGTTTGGAACCCAAAGGAAGACTCCCCAGGGTTCCCCAGGCCCTGCGCTATGTCAGTTCCTGAGGGCAGGGAGCACAGACAGACTCAGGCACCAGCCTCCCAGTGCAGTGGTGTCGTGTCCTTTGGAGCAGGGTGTGCACCAAAGCTCTCCTCTCCCTCCCGCCCAGCACCTCTGATAACACTGCACACTGACTTCCTCTCAGTTGGATGTCATTTGCCATCCCCTCCTTTCTCGGTGTCCTCTCTTGCTCCTGGACCCAAATGCATCTATTTACAGAGCCCCTGGCCCTCCTGGCATGCCCTTTTCCCCCTGCAGGTCCAAAGCCCCAGGATGCCAACGGTGGGCTCCTCCCAGCCACGCCACGCCCCCATGGGCGCTCTGGAGAGTTCCTAGGGGATCCCTTCCCCCACCCTGCCTGCCCTCCCCTTCTGCCCCGGTGCACTCCCAGCAGCACCTTCCGGCCACAGCACTCTTGGCGGGCAGAAGGGCTGAACAGAGGTCTCAGCCTGCCCCACTCTGCATTTTGAGCTCAAAGGCCTGACCCTCGTTTCACAAGGGCTTGAGTAGGGGAAGCCCCATACACCCACCCACCCTCTCCTGGTCCTCTCAAGAACCACCAATCCAAGCCGGCAGAAGGAGACAGGGAGATAATTCTAGGGGCGGCTGCCACCCCGCACCCTGCCACGGGCCCTAGAAGGTCACGCGGCCTTAGCCTTCCACCTCGTCCGATTTGCCGCGGGCGGGCGGCCTTCCCTCCGGAAGCCTGTTGCGCCGCCCGCCTTGCGCCGTGCTCCTGGGCTCCTGGTAGGGGTTGTCCAGCAGGTAGCGAAACTGCTCGTAGTTCTTGAGCAGGTACTTAGGGGCGTACATGTGCTCGCTGGGATCGGCCGGCGGGTACTCCTGCTGCGTGCCGTCAAACCAGCCGCCCGTGCGGATCAAGCTCCGGATGTAGTTGAGGTCCCGCTTGTCCTCGTAGTCGCCCCAGCGGGGGAAGTCGCCGTTCTGGGCGGACACGAGCTTGAAGTAGATGCCCTCGGGCGTGAAGCACCAGGAGCAGTGCCAGCCGGCGAAGTGCAGGGGGCTGCCGAGCGACCACTGCACCAGGATGTGGCCCGTGCGGTTCTCGTACTGGCGGAAGTTGGGCATGGTGTAGTACTGGCGGCGGCGCAGGCGGATGCCGTCCAGCCCGTACACGGCCCGCAGCATGTCCACCGTGCAGCCCGACACCACCTCCAGCGTGCCCGGCTGCTTCCAGAAGAAGCCGTAGAGCGACTTGCGCATGTGGAAGGCGAAGGGCTCGGTCCAGCCGTCGTAGAGCTTGAGGAAGAGGACGCCGTCGCGGGCCGGGATCTCGTCGGCGTCGTCGATGATGAAGACGTCGTCGGGCCGCAGGTTGCGCAGCCGCGAGACGCCGTCCTGGGTGAGGAAGGTGCGCAGGTAGTCGTCGGCGATCCAGCCGTCCTGCCGGCCGCCCGGCGGGAAGTGGTCCAGGAAGACGTAGAGCACCTTGTGGCGGATGTACTCGAAGGTGCCGTTGGTCAGCATCTCCCGGAACTTGAGCGGCCGCGGCTCCCCGTAGGCCGTGAAGTTGGACTCGCACACCACGAAGGCGTCCACCACGTCGCCCAGCTCGTGGAAGCGCACGTCCAGCAGGTCGAACTCGTGGTTGATGTTGATGGCGTTGATGACCCGGCGCGGCACCTCGCGGGGCACCAGCCGCTCCTTGGTGGGCAGGTTGGAGTACTGCACCACGGTGGGCACGCCGCAGCTGGGCCCGTGCCAGCCGGGCAGGCACACGCACTCCACCCACTTGCGCCGCGGGCCCCGGCTGCCCGCGCGCTCGCGGTTGCTCAGCAGGTACCGGGGCGGGCGCCGGGCAGAGGAGCCGTTGGCCCCCTCGGGCTTCTCCTCCGGCCGCCCCGGCGGCGGCTTCTCCAGCATCTTGGTGCCTGGTTTGAAGCAGACGCCCCCGGCTTTGGTGCGCACGAAATACTCGGTGGTGTCCTCGGGCAGCACGAAGTCCACCCTGTGGAGTTCCTCGGTGGCCTTGCTTGGTGACAGGGGCTGCAGCAGGGGCGAATGGGAGTAGAGGGGGGTCCGCAGCAGGTCAGGGCCTCCCGGCTCGGGGCTGGCCTGGGGCGTGACGGGGGCATTGTTCCAGAAGAAGCTGGACACGAGGTTAGGGCTGAGGGAGGCCAGTTCTCGGGGGAAGGTGACATAGGACAGGGTCTTAAAGAAGTGCAGGAAGGAGATGAGGCACAGGCCGGCCATACAGAACATGAGAAAGAGCTTGTAGCGTCTCATCTTCATCCTGCTGGAAAGAGGGACAGAGCAGACACGTTAGGGCCACCTGAGACTTCTAGGAAGGGGACTTGAGGAGGCCTGTGCTATCACTGTGTTTGAGAATGTCCTGGCCAGCGCCTGGTGCCGCTGCATGAGTCACCTCCTGCCTCCAAGGCCCCTGGAAGCCTCAGCATCAAAGAAACTCCTCTTGCTCCTACAGCCCTTCCCTTCGGAGACCACCGGGCCACCAGAGTGCCCCTCTGCAGCCTGGCCCCAGCCTGACTGTACCAGCGGCATGGCTTGGCTGCGCTCCAGGAGCAAACGCATCTTGGGAAAAGCTCAACCCCACGGAGTGGGCCCTGCCCGGGGCTCACAGGCCCCAAGGGAGGGCAGGTGGCAGACTGCCCACGTGAGGCCCGTCCCTGCAGGCTGCTGTGTGAGTCTCTCCTTCCTTTCGCCCTTCCCCCCTCCCTCCTTTCCCAGCTATCTTTTTCGTGGACATATTGACAAACCTGTTGAATATTTTTTCACCGAAAAAATTCACAGGTCTCACGGGAACGCACTTAGTTCTAACAAATTTAAAGAATAAAATTAAGTAAAAGTTCCCCTTCATTACCCCACATCCTGTATTGGATGCTCAGGCAGAAAAAAATCTGAGGTATGTCACTGGTTTTATATGTAATTTTTCTGTTCTTGATTTAGTATTTCTCATAAATATTATCATATTGGACACTAAGTCTAACCAAGTTGTTTCCCTCAATCAATGATAGATTTAAAGGATTTTCATATCAGTAGAAATGAATCTACCAGTTCCTTTTAAATCCCACATAATATTACATGGTTATTTTGAATGAAACATTCTCTATTCATGAGTGATTCATGATATAACTATTTGCTGTTCATTTATAGCTTAATTTATCACTTAGTTTATGACCGTGGAACGGAGATGCTTGTATCTCCATTTTAAATAAGCTTTTAATTTTAGAATATTTATAGATTATCAGAAAAGTTGCCAAGATAGTATAGAGGGTTCTTTACACACCTCACCTATTATTAGTATCTCACACCACCATACACGTTTGTCACTGGGAAACTGACATTGGCATGTCACCATTAACCAAATCCCACACTTTATTTGGACATCTTATCTCATGAACGAGCTTGTACAGCGACAGAGCACTTCTGACTGCCACCATCCAGCCCATTTGGTCCTTGAACCCAGGCAGGTGGGCCAGGAGGTTACACCCATTTGACCAATGAAAATGCCAAGTGGGGCCGAGTGGGACCAGGGACTTGGCTGGGGGGACCCACTGAGGCACAGAAGAGACTGGGACAAAAACCTTGCCCTGGGCAGCTGGCACTGTCCTTCCACCTAGAACATTCTTTCCCTTAAAATGTTCCTCTCTGTGGCTTCTCCTGACTTCTCTGGTTCTCCCTCTGGTTAGTTGGGTGCCGTCCTGCCATCCTCTCCCACTCCCTTCCCAACTCTGAGGATAGCAGGGGAGAGTGGAAAAGAGACACTTGGCTTCACACTCCGGTGACCTTAGCAAGGCTCCTCACCATGCTGAACCTCTGTCTCTACATCTGTGAAATGGGGGCAGACTTCCTGGTGTGCAGAAGGTGCTCAAGGAGCTGCCGCTGCTTTCCATGCTCAAGGCTGGAAGCCCCCAACGTAATTTTCCCTAAGCTACATGGTCGTAAGGCACAGAATTGTGAACTGTTTGATCTAGAAAACAAATTTTAAGGACCATCTCTTCCCACTCTCTCACCTTATAGAGGAGGAAACCAGGACCTAGGGGCCTCAGGAACCTGCTCAAAGTTTTGAAGCTGGGGTGTGAATCCAGGTGCCTGGGGTCCCGAACCACGCGCCCCTCAGGGCCTCACCTGAGCAAGCCGGTGGGGAGCAGCTGAGTTGCTAATCCCAGTGGTCAGGGCAGTACGTGCACTATTAGATCTGAGCTGTCCCACCTTCTCCAGTCTAAATGCCTGACTATTGGAGCCGCACACGGGCACAGCTGACTGCCGGCAGGTAGGACAACCGGGGTTGGGGCCCTGACCTCCGCTAAACGTTAGCTGTCCCAGGGCAGAGGTGGGGTGGTCTCCACTGGCTTGTGGAGGGAGGGCAAGGAGGGGCTGCTCCTTGGTGACATTTTGAAATGGGTCATCTGGGGCCGGGCGCAGTGGCTCACGCCTGTAATCCTAGCTCTCTGGGAGGCCGAGGTGGGAGGATTGCTTGAGCTCAGGAGTTCGAAACCAGCCTGAGCAAGAGCGAGACCCCGTCTCTACTAAAATTAGAGAGAAATTAATTGGACAACTAAAAATATATAGAAAAAATTAGCCGGGCATGGTGGCGCATGCCTGTAGTCCCAGCTACTCGGGAGGCTGAGGCAGGAGGATCGCTTGAGCCCAGGAGTTTGAGGTTGCTGTGAGCTAGGATGACGCCACGGCACTCTAGCCCGGGCAACACAGTGAGACTCTGTCTCAAAAAAAAAAAAGAAATGGGTCATCTGGGCCCCTCTCCACAGTGGAGTCCAGCCCTGGTCTGGCAAAGCGAGAGCTGGTAGGCCAGGCCAGCAGAGTGAGCAAAAGGGCAAAGGGGCCAGGCCCAATAGAGGCAGGGGATGGGAGCTTCTGCGGTGGCAAGAACTAGGCACAAGACAACACTGCAGACATCAGCACAGCGGAAGCTTCCAGAGTGACCCACCCAAGGCATTTCAGGATCTCGCAAGGCAGCCCTGCCCCTTCTCGTGGATTATTTTTCTCTACGTGGGACCTGCCTCCGTGGGGCACACCCCAGATTAGACTAAACTGGCCCAAGAGGTGTAGAGGGCAGGGCCTGGGGCTGCCATCTGGACTAGATCCCCTGGCAGCAGCAAACAAAGGCCTTAGCAAGGTGAGAGAAACTCAGAGGCAAGTCAATGTCCTGCTTGGGTGTGAAAGGCCTCTGTGGACCTGCCAAGAGCAGACTGACCCGGCTGCCCTTCGGCTTCCTGGATCTGGTTACACCAGCCAGCTGTGCCCTTCTGAGGACAGACTCACCAGTGCCTGGGGGCTCCCCTCTGACTCACTGGGGCCTTCAGGGCAGAGCCCTAGATAAGGCCTCAGTCTGGCTTGCTGCTAAGAATCATGGAACTTAGCATGTTTCCCTTATCACTCAGACTGCTAGGAGGCTCAGAAGTGCACAGTAGTAGACCCAGAGCGAGTCAACAGCATCACAGATGACATTTTCCGGGACTCCTTCACATGCGACTGTTTATATTTTTAACCCTTATTCTCAGCCTGATTCCTTTTTATCTTCGCATTTTTTTTAATGAGACAGCATAAAAATAAAATGGAATAAATAAGCACCGGCACTCAGGGTCTCAGATACCTCTCTCAGACACCCTGAGAGGTCGTCGTACCCACCCTGCTTTAACAGATGGGGAAACTGAGAGTCAGAAAGATGGCAAGACCTTCCCCAAAGGACATTACGAAGTTGGCTGAGTCAGGACTTGAGCACAAGTTTGGGTTCCCAAGCCAGCACCTCCCTCTCTCCCTCACTGCATCGCAGACCACCGTAGCCCTCTGTAGCACAGGTGGCCCGGCTGGAGGCTAAAGCCATGGAACCGACATGGGCGCCAGCTGGTGGCATTTCTGCTTCTACTGCAAACCACCAGGTGCAACAACGAAACTGAATGTCACTGATGCTTACACACCAGCCACTGTCCTGAGCACGTTACACGCATGACCTCACTAAGTCCTCCCCACGTGAAGCAGGTTGCCATTCCCACTTGACAGATGAGGAAACTAAAGCCAGGGAGACGATGTCACTTGCACAGTGTCACACGGTCAGGGTCACAGGCAATTCCCTGGGATCAGTCATGGGATTTCTCCCAGCCATAAAGCTGTCCTGAGCCCCTTCCATCTGCCAAGTTCAGCCCAAGTGAGGTGACAGGGGCCCCCTGCAGAGTCCCCCTGTGACAGTGAAGTCAACCCAGTGGATGGAGCAGCCACATCGCATCAGGTCCACACAGCACCCCAGAAGGTGCTCGCCTAAGCCACACCGTTCACTCTGCACTACGATGGAGAGCCCGCCCTGCGCCAGGCACCGCGCCAGGTGCTGGGGACATCGGGGAGACAAGATGGACCAAAACCCCTTGCCTCGTGGAGCTTGCACAGGGCTGGGCAGGGTAAGGAGACGGCAACAAACTCAAAATAAATGAGTCAGATAATAGTATCGCCTGTTAAAAGGTCATGCTCTGGAGAAAGGCAAAGTGGGGTACAGGGCGGGGCAGCGGGTCCGCTGAGAAGTGGTGGTCAGGCAGGCTTGCTGAGGTCACATTTGAACAGACGCCACACAGGTGGGGGCACCAGGAAAGAATGTTCCAGGTGGAAGGAACAGCCGGTGCTCAGGCAGGAGTGCGTGTGCGTGAGGGAGGAACAGCGAGGAGGGTGGGAGGGAGCGAGCCAGGGGACACTGGGGCTGAGGGGCGGGAAAGGTGACTTTCACTGGAGGGTTCAAGCAGAGGAGGGCCGTGGCCTGACCTGGGTTTCAACAACTCGCTTTGGCTGCTCTGCGGAGAACAGACTGTCGCCTCAAGGGCAGCGCAGGGAGAGCCGGGAGAAGCCACTGCACTGTCCAGGCGAGAGTCGAGGTGGCTTTGACCCAGGGCGGTGGGTGCAGAGCGTGGTCAGATTCTGCCGATGAGCTGGGTGGGAAGTGTGAGGAGGCACCGGCTCCGGTTCCAGGCACTGTAAGGAGGGACTAGTCTTTGCCTGGGGTGGAGGAGCCAGCCCTGAACTGCCTTCGTGGAGCCGGGAAACGGCAAGGCTGGGGCTGCAGCCAGCGTTGGTCTCCGCAGGGCCTTGCTCTAACCACTGCTCATCCTTAGACACCAACACTGAGGCTGAGCAGGAAGGACATGGCCAAGCTCACACAGCTGGCTAACGGCAGAGCCTGGCGCTAACCTTGGTCTCTGGATCCAAATCTCAGGTCCTTTCTGCAGCATGCTCTCCCTGGAGCGTCACAGGATGGATGGGGGTGGGGTGGGCCCTGGGAGTAGGAGTTGGGGTGGGAGCCATTGTCCAGCACACAGCCCCACTCCCACCTTGCTTCCCAGGATGCA